CCCCCCCGCCAAGTGCCGCGCGCCCGAGGCCGGCGCTCTCCCCTCCCCTCAGCGCCGTGTTAGTCTGTAAGGGTGTGTCTAGACTACATCCCTGTTTCGAGAAAGGGATGTAAATTAGGCACGTCGATATTGCAAATGATGCCGGAATTTGATTTTTCTGTGCTTCATTTCCATGATGGCAGCCTCCACTTTTTTCCAAAACGGGGTTTTTTTGAAAGAAAACTGACAGTTTAGACAGAAATCTTTCCTCAGCGCCGTGTTAGTCTGTAAGGGTGTGTCTAGACTACATCCCTGTTTCGAGAAAGGGATGTAAATTAGGCACGTCGATATTGCAAATGATGCCGGAATTTGATTTTTCTGTGCTTCATTTCCATGATGGCAGCCTCCACTTTTTTCCAAAACGGGGTTTTTTTGAAAGAAAACTGACAGTTTAGACAGAAATCTTTCAAAAATAAAATCCTTTTTCGAAAGATCCTGTACTCCTCAAAAATGAGGTTTACAGGATCTTTCAAAAAAAAAGGTTTTTATTTTCGAAAGATTCCAGTCTAAACTGCCATTTTTTTTTTAAAAAAAAAGCCCCATTTCGAAAAAAGCGGCAGCTGCCATTATGCAAATGAAGCACGAGAAATTCAATCCCGGCTTCATCTGCAATATTGACGTGCCTAATTTAAATCCCTCTCTCAAAAAAGGAGGTAGTCTAGACACACTAACTGAAAAAACAGCAAATAGTCCTGCAGCACCTTAGAGACTAACAAAAATATAGACGGTATCTTGAGCTTTCACAGGCACAACCCACTTCTTCAGGTGAATCCAAAAAAGTTCATGATACCACCTACATTTTTTTGTTACTCTCTAAGGTGATTCAAGACTATTCGCTGTTTTTTAAAGCTATTTCAGCTAGTCTGACAATACACTCTGTCAAGTGGGGGATGGAAGTAGGCACAACCCTCATTAACATAAAATAATTAGTCTCTCAATGTCTGTGTCAGCTATTATTTATGTTTGACTTCCAAGTTTCTTAATACTTTATAGCAGTGGCTCTTAAGTTTTTTGGCCCGTGGCCCATCTGGCTGAATCCAAACCTATTCACAGACCAACAGTTGCTAATGGAAACTCACCAATAATTACATCCGAGCCATTTTGCTAGTGTTGCAGCTAGGGAGAATGGTTTATAATTTACATTATTAAACAGATTAAGCGTTTTAGCTCTCTCATGTTAGGTTTATCAAATTTCATTTTAATAAAGTAAAATGTTAATTTACATCTAACACAAAAGGTTTCAATGTTTTCTTTATTTATGGCAGGGGTGGGGAACCTAGGGGCCACTGACCCACAGAAAAATTAGTTGGGGACCACACATGCGAGAAGCAAAACAACCAAACCAAAACAAAAAAAAACCTCTTCCAAAACCCCCCCAACCCTCACTGATGTGGCACCCCAAATGAGACCTCTCACTTTTCTGGTTCTCCAGCCCCACAGGGCAAAGGGAAGGGACAGGGAGGACTGAGATTCAGGGCTTCCCAGGCGAGATTTACTTTTTTGAGGTTCCAGAATTAGTGAATTTTGAGGAACCCTCCTCCCCTCCCCCCCAGGCTCTGGGGCAGGGACGAAAATGAAGGGTTCAGTGTGCGGGAGAGGGCTGCCAGTGAGTGGGATAGGGATGGAGGTACACAAACTGGGTGGGAGGTAGAGTGCAAGAGCAGGCTCGGAATAGGGTGTCTGGTCAAGAGGCAGGGTGAAGAAGTGGACGACGGGGGAGAGAGAGGGAAGGGGGATATGGGTAGGGTGTCTGACTGGGGTGAGGGAACAAGAGCAAGGGAGGATGCAGCGTATGGCCAGGAGGGAGGGTGAAGGAGCAGGATAGGAGTAGGGTGTCTGGCTAAGGGGGAGGGTGCAGGAACAAGGAAGGGTGCAGTGTGTGGCCAGGAGGGAGGGTGCAGGAGCAGGGTGTCTGACTAAGGGGGAAGGTGCAGGAGTGGGTTGGGGGTGCAGTGTCTTGGTGGGGAGTGGTGCATGAGGGGCATAGAGGTGCAGGGTCTGCACTTACTTGCTTCTGCTCCCTGCGCAGACACCATATTCCAGGCATGCTCTCCTGCTGCTCCCATTGGCCAATGGGAGCAATGGGGAAAGCCTCCAGGCAGTGCAACCATGCACTACTGTTCCTCCAGAGGGATGGGGGAAGGGTAGCGTCAGCATGCGGAGCCACTTCTGACTCCGCTTCTTCCCTGCAAGCCAGGTCTGGTGTGGAGGGTTGAGGCTTTGTCTCCCACTCCCAGTGGGAGTTGCTGCTAAGGAGCCTCAGCCCCAATGCTGCCTCTTCCAACCGCAGCCTAACCTGCTGTGGAGAAGAGGGAGGGCTCTCCAGCGGCCGCACGGAGGAGGAGTGGTGGGGCTGAGCTTCCGCCCCATGTGCCACTGAAAATTGGCTTGTGCGCCATAGGTTGCCGACCCTGGTCTACACCCTGTACCTTACAATGGTGTGGCTTTGCCACTCCAAACACACCTTCATAACCTGTGCTCTGTAGTTGCTCTCCCTTACCAGAAGAGAGCTCTCCCAGCAACAACTTAAGCCACCCTCAATGACAGTTGGTAGTTTCGTCATCACCAAGAACGCAGCCCTGCCAACGCAGCGCCATCTACGCTGGTGCATTCTGTCATTAAGCTTTTGTTATTCAGGGAAGTGGTTTTTCCACACTCTTGAACAGCAAAAATTTTAACAATGGATTTGTCTACACTGCCACTTTATTGTGCTGGAACTTCCTTGCTCAGGGACATGAAAAAACACCTCCTCCTCTTCCTCCCGATCACAGCAAGTTACAGCACTGTAAAGCACCAGTGTAAAGCAGCTCCCAGCAGTAGGGGTGTGAATGGTTAACTGATAAGGGGCTGGAACAGCTCTCCACCTACCGTGGGCAGGGAGCTGCTCTAGCCCTGAAGAGGCCAACACAGGCAGCGTCTGCTCCCACCTGCCAGTCAGAACAGCCCCTGTCCATGCTGGGCCTAGCCTAGCCCCCTTTCTCCACCGCAGGCAGGGGCTGTTCCTACCAACCAGCCAGAGTAGTCCTTGTCACCAGCAGGGGGCCACTCCAGCCCAGCCAAGGCGGGGGGGAGGGAAAGGGGGCTGCTCCAGTACAGTGGGGCTGGAGTAGCTCCTTGCCCACTTCCCCTTTAATTGGTTAAACAGGTAAACATGTTTAACAAGTTAACCAATTAACCAGGATTTTACATCCCTACCCAACACTGTTAGCTACTTTCCTTGTGGAGGTGGTTTATCTACCCATGCCAGGGGAGCTCTCTCCCAGTGCTGATGCCATGACCACACTGCCTTGGTAAAGCTTTCAACTCAGCAATGTAGAAAAAGCCAATGCAAGTGCCTGTATAGTCAAAGTCTAAATCAGTGGTTCTCCACCTTAGACTACAGTACCCCTTTCGGGTGTCCAATCTGTCTTGTGTACCCCTAAGTTTCACCTCACTTAATCTATTTTCTTACAAAGTCAGACACAAAAACACAAATGTGGCACAGCACACTGTTACGGAAACATTGCTTATTTTCTCATAATATAAACACTGTACTTATATTTCAGTGTACAGTATTAACTTTTGCTACTTTGTAGGTAACCTGTTGAAAAACTCAATCCAGATGAGTCACTATGCCTCCTGGAACACCTCTGCATAGTAGGGATGTTAGATATAATTTAATTATCGAGTAACCATACAAATCTTTGTGGTTACACGATTATTCAATGGTCACTGGTAGTGGGGCCAGCATCCAGTGCACTCCTGGCCTCGCTCCCGGAGAGCCCCCTGCCACCCCGCGCTGTTGCCTCATACAGAATTTGTTTATAATTCCCCAGACCATATAATTGATGTTTTATACCTTATTTTCCATCAAAGATTAAAATATTTTAGCTCTAAAGATTTGTTCCATAGCACCAAGTTCATTAGCCTTTCAATATGCTATTTAGCATTCAATAGCTGCTGTTTGTGTTCTCCATGACAACCAGTGATAGGTACTAATACCCATTTTTGGAAGAGGTACAGTAGTACTTATATTCCATTGATTAGACAGTTCTAATCATGGGTCACTTGAAACAACAAAGCACCCCAGGCTCTCCTCCACAAAGTTCGGATAAAAGTGGGCTCTTGTTTTCAGCATAACCAACCCAGTCACAGTGAAAACAGAGGGAGATTTGATCATTTGCTTTTCTCTTTTTTGAAGCTCTGGTGACTCTGGGCCTGATCTTGCCATCCTCACTTCATCACGGCCCTCTTGTTAAATTCAGCAACAACTTTGCTTTAGCAGGAAATGCTGGATCACACAATATGAGTAAAATAGTTAAACATGTTCAATCAAATCTCATAATATTGGGGTGAGGGAAACCAAGGTCAGAGTTTGACTCATGTCCATTTCATCATGCTGAAATGAGTTGGTCAGGATTTGGCAGGGGGATGAATCTATGAGCCAAGTTCATTTCTCCAGAGACAATAATGCCTGGGTTGACTGACTGCATCAGTGGCCTAGGGATGCATTGTGAAATCAGACCGCTAGTTATTGACTTGGAGGCACAGAACAGTAATATAGGTCTCACGCTACAAACCCAAAATGTTGTTCCACAGTTTGTAACACACAGAGAAGGGAATTTATCATTTAAAGCGCTTGAGTTTAAGAGATTTAATCTCAGAACAGCCAGTCCCTAGCATCTTTTATACATTTTTTTTATGCAAGGAGGGTAGAAAAACAAACGGGCATGATTTTGTTTTAACAGCCTCTGACATTAAGGATTATGATCAAGAAAGATGTGAGAGATTTATGAGTCTTTTTTTTTTAAATCCATCCGCAATGCATAAAAAGTCCTAGCAGAACTTCCTAAGATTGTTTATTTTCCATCCATTAAAACATTTATTTAATCAATCTATACAATGAATGAGCAGGCCACATGAGGTGCTCTCCCTTCCTGATAAAACCTGAGAGGGGTGTTGCAGGACTACTCGTTTTTAAAGTTTTTTTCAGTTACAGATTAACATGACTATCCCTCTGAAATCAGAGAAGAGAGAAATCTCTCTCCAAGGATTCCTTAGTATCATTTCTCCCTAATTGTTCCATTAGGGACATGGGCTTTCCTACATAGCAGAACAGGCTGAATAGAGGATCCCAGAGAAACTCATATCTGGCCTAATAAAAACTGTACTCTTTGGAGGATTCTTTCTGGAAGATGTAGTAGCAACTGGAAGTGTGGTGTTCAGGCACTGATTTTATCATTTGACCAATGAAGCCCCTTCCCACGTCAAAATCACAACTTAAATCTACATTTATGATGAAAAAAGACCCGGGCAACATTCACCCCTTGCTTATTTTGGGAGGGGAGGGGGGTTTCTGGACATCCAACACTCTGGTCATCTGAAGAAGTGGGCTCTGCCCACAAAAGCTCACGATACCATCTACATGTTTTGTTAGTCTTTAAAGTCCTACCAGACTACTTGTTGTTTTTTTATTTTTAATGGTTGTTTTTTTTTAAACATTCACCCCCTTACTTAGAGCCATTTTTTTCCTTTTACTTCTAATGTAGATTTTTATAGGCACTTTTTTGTGCAATACACCTTGGTCTAAATTCCAACTGCCTTACTCATATGAGCAACGTCATCAACCTCGATGGTTCTATGAGCAGGATTTGGTCCATGACAGCTTCTGCCTTCATTCATGCACTTACTATTTATTTAAGATTACATTATCTAACTGATAACACTTCCCCTCTCTTGTTTGCTCAGAAGTGGAACCTTTCATGATCCTGGTGTTCCTCATGCAATGGAAATCAGCTTCCTCAATAAAACACTGCAAAGGTTACACAGAAAGTGGATGATTTCAAAGCAAAATAGTCTGCATTAAATTTCTCCAGAAGCATTGAGGATTCCCGCTCAGTAAAACTAAGCGGGTAATGCAAGGAAGCTGATGTAAACTGTATTTAACTGAAGACTCACATTCTGAGGTTCAGAGGGGTAGTTGAGTTAGTCTGTAATAGGAAACATTTTAAAAACAACGAATAGTCTAGTAGCACCTTAAAGACTAACAAAACATGTAAATAGTATCATGAGCTTTTGTGGGTAAAACCCACTTCTTCAGATGACCAGAGTCTGAACTTGGCATTTCCCCTTACAGCTGATAACACCACTAATAAGGTTAACACTCCAGGGCAAGGTTTAAGTATCACCTTAAGTGTCAGCTGATAAACACAATAGGCCAGAAGTAACTCTGAAGCTTTGCAAAAATGAAGCCACAATACAACTACACCAAAAAATGCTGTGAAGAGAGAACACTTAGGAGTTGCTTTTGATTTACACCAGTTATTGGTTTAACCTGAAACCAAGAACCTCAAGGCATATGTGAGGGTAAGGCATTGCTGAAGCAGTTTGCTGATTTTCTGACAGTCAAATCTTGTTTCAATTTTGATTAGTTTTTCAAATGTAACACTGGAGAGTGGGAGTCTCAGAATAGCCTAAATCAATTTGGCCCTTTCAAAAGTGCCTATTTTAATATTACCAATTTCGCCAAAAGCAATATAAGCTACAGCAAACAACCTGTTTGCTATGACATTCTGCAGCATGAATTCACACTATCTTCATTTGACTATTGCTAGTCCTCCAATGCCTTTCTACAATTTCCCAGAAAGGAGCAGGCAAATTCTCCAACAATACACCAAGAAATAATTCATTATGCAGCACAGCTTTCTGCAGTGCTAACAACTGTCTGATATGCCCCTAGATGTTAATGCTTACTTGTCTCTAGTGCTATTTTAGTGTAATTACTCTTACATAAGTTAGGCTAACTCAAGCTAACTACAGCAAAGACATACCCACACAGACTTGCTGTGTGAAGCTGGGCAAGTGACTACTCGATTTTCTTATTTATAAAACAGGATTATTAATACAGCAGAAATGTACTTAGCTAAATCCCACTGTTTACCTAACCTCCTGTTTTCTGGGGATTTCAGATAAGCAAGTCTTAAATACACCTATAGCAGATTAAAGTTATACACACACAAGTAACCTTCTGACAATGTTTTTTCCTTCTGGTTGAAAACTTCCACAAATCAAGGGGCTGAAGCCCCCTCCTTAAGTAAGCCAGCCAGTTTTCCCAGGCCAGTTCACGCTACATGTAATAAATTCAATTATCAGCACTCGCAGAGGTGATAATAGCTTTCATAAGGGGTGTGAAGAGTTTTGCTTAGAAGCCATGAAGTTATGATGCAGAAGTCGGAGCTGTATTACAGCAGACGTGCCCAGGAAAATGTTCTCTCTCACCAGTGGGTTAATATGACTGGTCAAGGTTGTGGAGAAGGCTCATTTGATCCCCTAAAGGTTCCCCCCGCCCCCCAAATCTGGGATAGCCAGGGTCCTGTCGTATCGACCCACCGTGCAGGAGTAAAGTTCCTGGCTGGAAGTCCCCTCCGAAGGGCAGAGTATTGGCATCAACAGCCACCACAGTCCGCGGCACTTTTGCGAGGCATAAAGTCACTAACTAGCTCCATTGCCCGGAAGTGACTGGTCCTGTGTCACAACAGCCTCCCCCGCCGTCGCCTTTCACACTCACCCACGCTGGGGTTGGATGGGGCGTGAGCAGCTAGCGGCCGCACCTAACCTCGCTCCTAACGGGGCGCTCACAGCGGCACCGGGCTAGCGGGCGCAGCCTAGTCCGACTCCCGGCCCCGGCTGGCCGAACCCGGAGCCCAGAGGCTCGGACAGAGGGCGGCCAGGACAGGCCGGCAGCCGTCACCTGCGCACCGGCCGCCCTACGGAGCCGGGGCACTCGCAGCAGCCCGGGCCCCCCCCCAACCCCGGAGGCTTCTCGGTGCCCCCAGCGGCCGCGAACCTCGGCCCCGGCTGCACGCACCTCCCGCTGCTTCCAACCTCGGCGCCGGGACAACGTCACCTCGCGCCCTCCCCCAGGGAGCCGCCAGCACCCGGCCGGCGCTACCCTCCGCAGCGCACACGCCGCCCGCCGGCTGAGGGCGCGAGCGTGGCTGGGAGTCGTAGTTCCCCTTCCCATTGGTCCCCCAGTTCCCTCTGCACCAATGGGCGCCGCCGGCCCCGGAACGCCGTGTTCTAGGTGAGAGCGGCGTCAGCCGGGCAGCACGCGCTGTCCCCAGCGGGGGTCCGCGCCCCGCCCACTGCCGGCCCCGGAGCCTGCGTTCGGCGGTGGGCGGAGCGCGCGGGCCCCTGTGAGGCCCCGGGCTCGGTTCCGCCGGGTTGCTATTTGCAGCGTTTGTGCCTCTGCCGTTGCTGTTTGCCGGGCTTAGCAGTGAAAGGCTCCGGCGGAAATGTTCAGTGTGATTGAACAGGGCGAGTCGCCGCCACCCCTTTATGTCAGGTCTTGGCCTCTGCTGCTGCTAGTAGCGACGTTCTAGCCACGAGCCAGGCTTTCTGGTCACTGCTGGGGGTAGCACGAAGGCGCCCCTCTCTCTCCAACAGAAGTGTGCCCATCCAAGATATTAACCCCCCCCCCCCCACACACACACACATGGGGTTTTCTGGAAAAACTTGCCAGCTGTCTACACTGGCAGCTTGAATTTCCGCAAAAGCGCTGACTTCCTACTGTAAGAAATCAGTGCTTTTTGCAGAAATACTATGCTGCTCCCGTTCCGGCATAACTGGATAACTGGTCCCGAATAACTGGAAAAAGGCAAATTTAGTGCCTATCTTTAAAAAAGAGAAGAAGGACAATCCAGGGAATTACAGATTGGTCAGCCTCACCTCAGTCCCTGGAAAACTCATGGAGGGGATCATCACAGATTCCATTTGGAAGCACTTGGAGGAGAGGAATGATCAGGAATAGTCAACATGGATTCACCAAAGACAAGTTATTCCTGACCAGCCTGATTGCCTTCTACGACAAGGTCACTGATTCTGTGGCTATGGGGAAGGTGGTGGACATGACATATCTTGACTTTAGCAAAGCTTTTGATATGGTCTCCCACAGCATTCTTGCCAGCAAGTTAAGGAAGTATGGATTAGATAAATGGATAGAAAGCTGGATAAATTGGTGGATAGAAAGCTGGATAAATTGTTGGGCTCAAGAGGTAGTGATCAATGGCTTAATGTCTGGTTGGCAGTCAGTATCAAGTAGAGTGCCCCTTGGGTTGTTTCTAGGGCCGGTTTTGTTCAACATCTTTGTTAATGACCTGGATGAGGGGATGGATTGCACCCTCAGCAAGTTCGCTGATGATACTAAACTAGGGGGAGAGTTAGACACATTGGAGGGTAGGGACACTCATGGGGGTCCAGAGTGACCTAGACAAATTGAAGGATTGGGCCAAAAGAAATCTGATGAGGCTCAACAAAGAGAAGTGCAGAAAGTATGTGGACACATTGTAGGACAACAAAAATGATTGAGGGTCTGGAGCACATGATTTATGAGGAGAGGCTGAGAGATTTGGGCTTATTTAGTCTACAGAAGAGAAGATTGGGGGGAGATTTGATAGCAGCTTTTAACCAGCTAAATGGAGGTTTCAAAGAGGATGGAGAGAGGCTGTTCTCAGTGGTAACAGAGAATGAGGAGCAATGGTCTTAAGTTGCAGTGGGGGAGGTGTAGGTTGGATATTAGGAAAAACTATGGTATTAGGAGGGTGGTAAAGCACTAGAACGGGTTACATAGGTAAGTAGTAGAATCTCCATCCCTAGAGGTTTTTAAGTCCTGGCTTGACAAAGCCCTGGCTGGAATGATTTAGTTTGGGTAGGTCCTGCTTTGGGTAGAGGGTTGGACTCCATGACCTCCTGAGGTCTCTTCCAATTCTATGATTCTATGAGGTGTCAACTACTTCCTCTTGTAGCATGGCCCTCAATCCTAGGGCCACCCCTGAGGGAGTCCAAACAAAATACAGGTTATTCAACAAGTCTGCAGTTCATGAGAGAGAGACAGGCGGGAATGCTTCCCTTTCAGACTGTCTTTGCAGAAGGTCCTCCCTTCCCTCAGTGAGGGGCCTTTGAGCACTTGTTTAGGGAGGGAGTCTGCCTGCTCCCTCCCTCAGCTCTTCTCTCCTGGAAATACAAGTCCGCTCTGTTCTCTGGTCTGCTACCAAATGAGCAATTCCCTGCCTTTTAAATCCTCCTCCAGTAGACACATTTGGTACATGTATGGTGTGGTGGGGCAGGTGGGCCCAGAGTAGTTCCTTAACCCCTTGTTGCCCAGAGTGTATGTTTGTATATCTCACAGAAGCTGAGTGAGCAAACCGAATCCCTTATCAAACAATTTTATTTAGGACACAATGGCCTGAAAAATCTTAACATCAAACTTGTTTATCAACTTTATTGAAGCATGGATCTTTTGCTTGGTTCACCATATAGTGAAACATTTTATTTATGATAATAGACAGCTTAGGGCTTATAGGGGCATTATAATGTTGCTGGTGTAGTTACAACTTTATCAGAAGATACAAACATGACCCGCAATAGAAACGAACACCAAATAGAACACGATGAAACGTTCACTTTACAAATCACTTCATTACTACAGACATCAAATGGCAGTTATTGTTAGTAAATCAGCCACAGAGAACTGTTTTACCTTTTGAGAAGAAAATGAGAACTTCTGTTTGGGGTTTTATCCACAGCTTAGTAAAAAAAGTTTAAATGTCAAGCATTCTTCTTATCCACAAAACAATGCTAACCAACAGATATATCAAAGAGTAAGACAAGGAGATCAACGGCTTTACAACTACTTTTGCAATTACCTTCTTGAGTAGGTATTGCAGATTGCTTTATGCATGTTATCAGAGTGTAAATAGCCCAAAATCAGCAGCAAAAGATTACAACATAACAAGTAAATACAGTGCCAATGTGTCATGTTGTAGAAGAGAATACGAAGAAGACAATGATAATTTAATCATATAAAATATGATACAAAGCTGAAATACAAGTGCATTTAAATAGCTATGTGACAAAGAATGTTAAATACTGTATTTAATATGTAGTTTTTAAAACATAAAATCTGAAAAAGTCTTTGTGCTTAAACTTTTTTCCTGTTAAACAGATTAGTTGCTTACTTCCCATACTGCCACTGTAACTGATATTACAACAGGTCACAATTTTCACAGACACATCAACAGTAAAACATTTACCTATGAGAAAATAAGTCACTTCTCATTAGTTCACAGTGCGAAAAAAGTGGTGTATACTCTGCCTCGAGAGAGGCTTTTCATTATTCACCAAGCCAGTTGCAGAAAAGTCCTGATACCAGATGCAGTGCTAAGATTTAAAGAATGGAAAGCAACACATCACATGTTGGGAGGAAAATATATATTTCTTGTTTCTTCATGGATATCGTCTAAGTGACCTTCGTCTTCTGTTGTAGAAATGCCTGAGACCATGTTGCCGTGAAAAATTCATCATGTAATTTTGTTTGCGAGTGCTGTTAAAAGCAAAAAGGAGAGAGGAGGAAAAGAATGTCACTCTCTTTGCATCCATTTTCAAATTGCCTTCAGAGACATAAGCTGGGGGCCCAGATTCTCCACCATCTTACACTTTCTACAGTCTTTTCTACCTCTGTAAAGTGATGTAAAATGCTTCCATTTGGATCTGCTGGCATGTTAGTGCAGCTGTGGAAGGCGCAAGGCAATTGAGACTCAAGACCACCTTGATTTTGGTTACAATTCAGTTTGTCAAAACTAGAGCAAGAGTTTAAATTAATTACCTCTGATGGGGGCTTAGGGCCAGATTCACTCAAGCTGTATGCACTCTATCTACTCCCAACATAGTGCATTTCTGTAAGCCTGATTTATACTCCAAAAATCTGCATCCCTCTCATAGACTCCTAAGTGGGAGAGATGCTGTTTACCACCCTTCTCGAGTGCAGCAGAAAAATACTACTGCACCTCCCCAACTTCTGGCGTTGCTATTGTGGTGGTTTATGAATTCAGGCTGATGTTACTCAGTTGTTAGTATGAACATTTCTGTATTATTGAATACCTATATACGTATGTGGTTAAAAGCTGGTTCCCCCCCAGCACCATGTCCCCAGGGGGCAGAGGAAGCAGGGGGGTAACGGGGACCAGGCGCAAGCCAGGAATCAGTTGATTTCCAGCTCATGCCCAGTTTCAGACGCTGCGCCTCTGCTTTTTAAATGAATTAAGAGCCTGCCAGCTATTAATACATTTAAAAATCAGAAGTGCAATGGGGTGGACCTAGCGTGAGCCAGGACATTTGATTCCTGGCTTGTGCCGGGTCCCACACTGCACTCCAGCCTTTTTACATTTATTAATAAACCTTTAGATTTTAGATTGTAAAGGATTGGCACAGTGTGCTCTTTTGGGTAAGATTCAAGATATAAATTGACCTAGGACTGTGGCTGGTCCTTTGGGACTGGGAGAAACTGTTCAGAGTTGGTGAGATTTTATAACCTCTCATTGATGTAAGGTGTAGGTCTGGTTCTGGGACAGGTAAAGCTGGGGTGTCTGAGGGGTTTTGTTTGTGAGTAGGGTTGCCAGACGGTTTCAACAAAAATACTGGACACACTTGACATTACATCACAATCTACATTACATCTTATTTAGAAAATACCGGACATTTATATTTTTTCATTTATATTTTTTCAATTTGTTTCCCGAACAGAAAGCTCAAATACTGGACTGTCTGGTTCAAAACTGGACACCTGGCAACCCTATTTGTGAGGCATCCTGCTGGCCAGATTGGCAGCTGAAGTGCTCTGTGTGACCGGTTTGGTGTCTTATAGAGGAGAACCCCAGTCTTCGGTTCTAAGTAGCCCTGGTTTTGAACAATTTGCCCTGATCCAACACTCTCAGCGGTGCCCAGACCGACCTGATATATTCCAGCTTATAGTTCTCATTAGTACCATTGGTATAATACAAGTCTCATTTAAAGCTACAGGCAAAATCCATTTGGAGTTATGATGAGGATGAAAATATACCTACTGCACAGAATACAAATATTTGATGTTACACTAGAACTTTTCATGCCTGCTCACAAACTATTTCACTACCCATACACACACATCACTTTAAAGCAATGGTTCTCAAACTTTTGGCCTGTGGCTCACCTGTCTCAATGCAAACCTTTCTACAGA